GCTCATTTGCAACAACTTAAAGGGGACATATTTTTTTTACAGGAAACACACCTTCTTAATAGGGAGATGATGCGCCTTAAAAGAAGTTGGATTAACCATGTATTTCATTCTAAATTTAATGCCAAGGCTAGAGGAACGGCCATACTTATTCGTAATAATGTCGTGTTTGAACAACACAAAATAATAGCCGACGCAGAGGGCCGTTTCATAATAGTAACGGGCAAACTACATGATTCTCTGGTGATATTAGCTAGTGTGTATGGTCCAAACTGGGATGACGACACTTTTATGTCAAGATTCTTTTCATCTGTGCCTAATATTGAAAATTATTATTTAATCATGGGGGGGGGACTTTAATATGATTCAGGACACCTCCTTAGACAGATCCTCAAACAGTACAGTTTCATTATCTAATGCTGCTAAAAGCCTTCAGGTTTTTAAAACCCAGTTGGGGCTGGTGGATCCATGGAGACATGGAAACCCGGCACTCAAACAGTTCTCTTTCTTTTCCCATGCTCACCGTACATACACACGCATAGATTTTTTCCTTATTGATATCAGACTAGTTTCTAAAATAAAAGCCTGTGATTACCACACTATAGCTATATCTGACCACGCACCAACCTCCCTAGATCTGGAAGTGATTTCTCAAGCCRACTGTTTAAAATTTTGGAGATTTAATTCTTCCTTGCTTACAGAGGACGACTACAAACAGTTTTTAAAGTATCAGCTCTCATTTTTCTTTGCTCTTAATGACTTGCCTGAAATTTCAAGAGGTACCCTTTGGGAAGCCTCAAAAGCTTATATGAGGGGTCAGCTTATTAGTTTCATTTCTAATTTCCAAAAGAAAAGATTACAACATTCCAAAGACCTGCTGAACCAGATTAAAGAAGTTGATTCTAGATTTGCAGCCAACCCAGATCCTGGCCTTTATAATGAACGTATTAGACTACAAACCGATTTTAACTTGACTTCCTCCGCAACAGCGCTACTACAGTTAACCAAGTCAAGACAGCGTTTCTTTGAATCGGGTGACAAAGCTGGAAAGCTTTTAGCTTTCCAAGCACGAGCAGAGGCAACCTCTAAACTAATCCCTTTRATTAAATCAGCTACAGGTGAGATCCTTTCTGATCCTACCAAGATAAATGAAAGATTTGCATCATTTTATTCAGAATTATATACCTCAATTTCTCCTCCATCTTCACATGAGATACTTAATGGCATTAACTTTCCACAGGTGGATGATGATTTGATGAGAGGTTTGGGAGGGGTTATCACTATAATGGAGGTGCGAGAAACCATCAAGTCCTTAAACTCAGGTAAATCCCCTGGCCCTGATGGTTTTTCCTCTGAATATTACAAGGCCAATGTGAATCTTCTGGCGCCAGTTCTGACAGATATGTACAATGAGGCCTTTTTAACCCGCCATCTGCCTAGTACATTATCAGAGGCTACAATATCCCTGATTCTTAAAAATGATAAAGACCCGTTACTGTGTAGCAGCTATAGACCCATTTCCCTCGATTTTAAAATTTTGTCTAAAATTCTTGCAACTCGCCTCCAACAAGTACTCTCATTATTTCATCAGATCAGACAGGTTTTATGACTGGGCGACAATCATTTCATAACACCAGACGTCTTCTCAATATTATCCATACATCAGGTGGCTTGTCGCCAGAAATAGTTGTATCCCTTGATGCTGAGAAGGCATTTGATCGGGTCGAGTGGGAATTTTTATATGATGTAATGGAGAGATTTGGCTTTAAGAATGATTTTGTACTCTGGGTCTAGTTATTGTACTCCTCTCCGATGGCCTCGGTTAAATCAAATAATATAATGTCTCCACCATTTCTTCTTGAAAGAGGCACCAGACAGGGATGTCCCCTCTCCCCCTTATTATTTGCTATTGCGATAGAGCCTCTTGCCATTTGGCTGCGGTCTGAGGAAAAGTTCAAAGGTATCCTCAGATCAGGTGTGACCCATAAAGTGTCTCTTTATGCGGATGACTTGCTTTTGTACATTTCTAATCCTACTGCCTCACTCCCAGTACTTTGTAACATCCTAGAACAATACAGCAGATTTTCTGGCTATAAAATCAACTACCAAAAAAGTCAATTATTTCCTATAAATTCTCTGGCTAGAAAACTTCCTAGATCAATTGCACCTTTTAAATGGACAGATGCAGGCTTTCGTTATTTAGGAATTTTTATCTGTCCTTCCATAACCAACATGATGAATAAGAACTTTTTACCATTAATAGAGAACATGGAGAAAGATTTTGATCGATGGTCCCGATTACCATTGTCTCTGGTGGGGCGGGTGAACCTGATCAAAATGACTGTTTTCCCAAAATTTCTATACCTTTTTCAACATGTTCCTATACTGATTACAAAGACCTTTTTTGATAAACTAGATAAAAAGATTTCTCAGTTTTTATGGCTTAAAAAACCTGCCAGACTTCGTAAATCGGTGCTACAGTCCCCAAATTATGAGGGTGGTCTTGCCCTCCCCAATTTTAGACAATACTACTGGGCAGCTAATATACAGAAACTTTTATACTGGAAGTGGGATAGTAATGCTTCGCCTGCCTGGGTGCAGATTGAAAAAGCCTCTAGTCATTATTCACTCTCCTCGCTACTTTGCTCTCAGCTCCCTCTTCCCTTTTCTCTAGTAGAYGATAATCCTATAGTTAGAGGGACATTAGCTACTGTATTTGGAGCCAGTTCAGGAAACAATTTGGCCTACATGGATCTTCAATACAAGCACCTTTAGTCAAAAACTGCAAATTTATGCCCTCAGTTACTGATTTAGTTTTCAGCTTGTGGAGTGACAAAGGGATCAGGACTGTTAAGGACCTTTATAGCAACAACATATTTTCTTCTTTTGCTGAATTATCATCTAAGTTTCAATTGCCCAACTCTCATCTTTTTCGTTTTTTTCAGGCCAGGGATTATGTCAAAAAGGTGTTTCCACACTTTCCTAATCGACCCCCTGAAACACTGTTGGATACTCTCCTAGAAATAAACCCAGAACYGAGAAAATGTATTTCATTTCTATATAATTCTTTCAATTATAATAATAAATCCAAGTTAGCAGTTTTCATTAAAACGACATGGGAAGAGGAGCTTGGTGTAGGTGTGTCAGATGAAAATTGGAAGGCCGCTATGAATTTAATTCACAAGTCCTCGGTTTGTGCCCGACATGCTTTGATACAATGCAAAATATTCTATAGAGCACATTACACAAATGCAAAATTAGCTAAAATTTATTCAACAATGAATGACACTTGTAACAGGTGTGGACAGTCACCAGCTAATCATACCCATATGTTTTGGGCTTGCCCTAAATTAAATAGGTTTTGGATCAATATTTTTAAAACACTTAGTCAAGCATATGATCAGACCATCCTCCCCAATCCATTGTCAGCTATATTTGGCATTCCTTTGGACCCGGACCTCTCTCATTATCTGAAACAAGCCCTAGCTTTCACCACTCTTTTAGCTCYCAGACTTATTTTACTTAAGTGGAAGCTGGGCACCCCTCCCTCTCATGACCARTGGGTGAAGGAAATTCTCTACAACCTGAAACTGGAAAAACTCAGATTTTCACTTAAGGGCTCTGCCAGCAAATTTTTAGAGACTTGGAAACCTTTTCTATCTTTAGTAGACTCCACCACTCTGCTTCCCGATACGGAAACAAATTAAAATATTTGTAGTTTTATTTTTTTTATTTTATTTATTTTTTATTTTTATTTATTTATTTATTTATTTTTACTTCTCTAATTATAATTTAATTTATTTAGTTAGTTATTTATCTCCTTTT